ATCTCCGATGTTTCCGCTTCCGGGTCGAGCCAATATGGCCCCCGCCCCCTCGCTGGCTAATCGCAGGGAGAGGCTCCGGAAGAGAACCAGGCGCCGATTCCGGGCCGTCGGGAGGCGCGCAGATGGTGGCTTGGGCCCCTGCGGAAGAGAGCCTGAGGCTCCTGCTCCGGCTCCTGTTGCTGCTCCTGACGGGAGGTGAGGAGACGGAGACCCTCCCCGGGCCCCCTCTCGGCGCCACCGCTGTAGCTGCCCGTGTCTCTCTTCTGTCTTCCAGGACCTGCTGCTGCCGGGAAGATGAAAGTCGTGGAGGAGCCCAACAGCTTCGGGTGAGGCGGATAGCGGGCAACGCGGCTCCTCCGACGGGCGCCGCTCTCGGCCTGCGGACTTGGGCAGAGTCGCGCTCGGTGCCTTGCGCGCCGCGGCGACGGGCGCCGAGCGCGGTTCTGAAGGCTTGTCTTTCTGTCCCTCCTTTTTTTTCCTCCGGCAAGGCTGAACAACCCGTTCCTGCCTCCTTCCAACCGGCTCCAACCCAAAGCGACCCCCTCCCCGATCTCAGGTGAGCTGGGCAGGATGAGGTCCGAAACTGCAGAGTCTCCCAACCACGGGATGTCATTTCAGAGAAAGACCCCACACGTTTTGGACCAAGTGTCTTGTGGAATCCCTGATAGCTTTTCAAATTCTTTGGTTTCTAGGTCCTGTACATCTTTTTAGGCTGGCAGGCAAGTGCTTTGGTTACGTGGAATCTATGTAAGTCATTTAATTAGATATGAATTTTAAAAAACACTTTCTTCTAAAAACTGGACATAAGTCTCTGACTTATTTTGAAATTTTAGGTACAAATATGAGTTCTGTCCATTCTATAACGTCACCCAACATGAGCAAACTTTCCGATGGAATGCCTACAGTGGAATTCTTGGGTAAGAAGATCCAGATCCATAGTCCCACTTCTCTTTGCTGTTGTCTGTTTAAAGTGATGTTCCAAGGTCAAAAATTCCCAGTTTAAGACAAGTATTAGAGAATTGCATTCTAAACATGTACATGTTGTAAAATACATGGAAATGATACAGAATAATACCTTAATTTCTACACTGCCTAAGCATGTTCTACAGTTTCATCTTATGTATATTTGTTACATGTTAAAAAAAGCTTTGGTGTTGTAGTGATGCTGAGATATGGGGATAGTTTTAAGAATGAACAAGGCTAGTCAATGGCAATCTCTTTTTTCTCTTAAGAATAAATATGGGCATGTATGCTTTACCTAAAGAGGAGAAATTAAAGCTGCTGGTTGATACGTTACTTTGTAAATTACCAAATAAGTACTCAATGCTTACTGAGGCATCTGGAGCTCATCTGATTTAATTAAAGCATATCTGGATTAAGTTGTATCACTTCAGAGAAAAGGTCTGCCACTTTTGGTTTTCTAAAGTCAATCATTTTTAGGGCTGAAATTTATGAGGTGCCTACAAGCTGTGATTTTATTGTGTGATGTACCCAACTACCAAAAATAAGGGTGTGTGTGTGGGAAATGTGGCTGGAAGAAAGCTTTCAGTTTTTGCAAATGTGGCTGCGGCTACAAAGGGGAGAGTATGTGGAAAAAGTCAAAGAAGAGTTGAGAAAATGGTGCCAGGACTAAAGACAGTGTTTTAAAACAGAACTGGATGAAAATTAAATTTGTCTCTGTTAACGGTATCACCTAGAAAAAAATAAATAAAATTACAGACAGGAGGTGGGTGATTTTTTTGGTTGTTGTTCTTGCAGGAAGTGGAAATTGAGTCCCACTCCAAACATTGTGGCGCATCATAAACAAAGCAGCTTTTAACAAAGCTAGCTAGTTGTATGCTGGATGGCATATCTATTAGGATTAATATTCTAGAAGTTAGAAACAGCAGTCAAAATAATCTTCAAAGATCTGAGAAATTAACTTGAAATAACAACAAAATTCAGTAAAGGCAAAGTTCTTTAGCTAGGAATTTGCAGAGTTTTGTATTTCTTTGGAAAGTCTGTTGAAGGCTTGGTAGCTTCCTCACTGAATTAGCTGATTTGACTGCTGTAACAGGGATTTCATCAGATGTGAGACTGATAGCTAAAAATTGATGCCAGAGTCACTACAATTACACATCATTTCTGGAAATATAATTGAATATCTGAATTCACAGGAGCTGCTATGGTTGAACTGCATCTAAGGATTGGGTCTAGCTGTGTAACTAGTTAATGTTAATTTCAAAAGAAACCATATGTTGAGCCATATCTTCTGTTTCTCTCCACTAGAAGTAACTTCCTTCTGATAGTTGGCAGGAGTAGCCTCAGGTTCAGATACATAGAGTTGGAATGGATGGAATTGTGAAATTTAGGAAGACAGGCTAGAATTTCCGTGGCAGATTTTTCTGTTCCATACACTTTGGAAATTTTTTTTATATGTAACGTCCCTTTGCACAGTGAAAGCAACTAATCTCAGCAATTTGTGCTCTGGTTCTTTTGGCAGGAAGCTTGCTTCTGGAATGTTTTTTTATATTACTTTGCATTCCCAAACATTTTCTTCCTTTGGTTTCCTGCAGAAATGATGCCTGCTACATTGACAATAATTTCTGGAATAGGCTTGGCTTCTCCCTTACACAGAGCTGGAAGGCAAAAGAATAGAAACTATTTCATTTCTGTAAATGGGCAAAATTGCTTGCCTTCAGCATTGGAAAATAAACATTTTTTTGCCTTGCCATCAAAAGCTGTTCCAAATGCCTCCCATCTGACAAAAAATTTCAGAGCCACATTTCAGCAGTTAGTTCAAAACAGGTCCTTACTCTGCTTTTAAAAAGAGCATAACTGCCATATTTACTTGAAAAAAAAACACCCTGGATTTAATATAATATCCCTGTAAAGGAAGATTAAATTAGCTAATCTACCACCCCATTTTAAATATTGACTGTTTGAAGTCGGGGGGACAACTATTCCTTTCAGGTAAATACAGCATTATATTTACCTATGGTTTGACAGCATATTTACTGTATTGCAATTATTTATATATTGTCTTTCAGGATAATAATCCTTCAAAGGAGTTTAGAAGCAATAAAAGCAAGTATAAATAGAACACAACAATTCTAGGATCTTTATAAAAGGATTGTTGGTGTAATGGGCCTATTTTGTTCAGTTGTGAAGGGTTGGGCAGGAGGTCTGGCTTGCAGGAGCAGTTTTTGCCTGCCATTCTTTCTCTCTTCAGGAGAACTATCTATTTTCAAGGACTTCACATGAAGCTCTTTGCACAGTGAAAAGAGTATTGCTAATTTTTGTAACAATGAGAAGATGTTGGACATCTGCCAATTGGGTTCTGCACCCATTGTGAACTGGGTGGAGGTTTAATCAAGGAAATCTAAGTTGCAGGTCAATTTGGCCCATTGTGATTTCACCCCTAAATTCAGTATTTCCACAGCTTGATTTCAAATAGATGAAAAGGAATAGCATTAAATGTCAACTGCATATTGGTGCACTTCCCTTCAAATTCTTGGATTAATGCTACAGTTTCCTGCAGATATAAGATAAAACATTGCAAGACTCTTTAATTCCACAGATCCCTTACCTTCTAAAATCAACCTCTATGAATGGAAATAAACCTTAACACTGCTAAAATGTTACTTTAGTTTTTGGTACCAAAAGCTGCTTGAGAGATCCAGAAGAATAAGCAAGGGCTTAATCTTGATTCATCTCTTGGAATAGGGTGACCTAAGCAGACTGTTCTAAAACCAGGCTTGAAATCAAACTGCAGCTGCCACTGGCATTCTTTGAAATATCTCAGAAGTTTATTATTATTATTTCCTAGAATCTGGAATGAATGGGAAATTGAAAACAACACTTTTGTTGGTATGTGGATGAGAGATGGAGATTCTTGTGAAACAAAAAATAGAGAGACAAAGGTAAAGAATTGGACATAATAAAGAAGCCAACATATAACTTACCATTCTAGATTATTCATTGATTAGATGTATATCCTGCCTTTTACAAGGAGTTTAAGTCAGCATACATAGTGCTCCCTCCTGCTATTTTTTCCTTTAACAACAATCTTGTGGGGTAGGTTGGGCTGAGTGAGTTACTGGCCCAAAGTTACCCATCTGAGCATGGACTAGAGTCTGAGTCTGCCTGCTCTTAGTTCAGCACTTAACTTCCTGTTGCAATAAAAATTACTTTTGATAGTTTATTTAGATAAATTCTATTTATGTAGGATATGAATACATTATTCATTGCTGAATAGTTTCAAACAGCCCAGATGTGATACATAGAGCTTTTTTCTTTATCTGTCAAATATTGTAAGTTCATTGAGCAGATTTACCCACCTTATATTAATTAGGTTTGTTTTTACTGGTCTGTGATTTAGGGAAATAAATTTAAGAATTCTGTTTATTGTCTCAAATCTCTGCTTTACAGGTACTTCTTGTATGTGGAAAAAACAATAGATTGGCTCGAGTATCTGAACCAAGCACTTGTGTTTATTCTCTTACATTTGAAACTCCACTTGTTTGCCACCCACATTCTCTTTTAGGTAAGACAATAATTCCTTCTTTGGGTTAAAAACTGAAATGATACAACTTATACTCCAATCTTTACACCATATGTGTTCAATAAGCCCATTATATCAAACTATTTTTTTATTCCCAAAGACGTCTTGCTATGTCATGATCCCAAGAACTAAGGGTTTCTGTAAATTACTCTTGGTTTTTGATGTGCAGTTTTCTAACTAACAAGTCCAATGGCCCTGCTAAGCTGATGGCAACTAACCCAGCAACACTTGCAAATCTATAGATCTTGCTGGCACCTAAAGTTGCCCCTTTTCACCAGAAAAGGGTGAAGATTGATTGGTTGTCCTGGTCAGAGCCCATTTGAAGGGTCTGGAAACCAGGCCCTGTGAGGAATG